GTCAAATGTTGACCGATAGTAATAAAATTTCTAATTACTAAATGTGTCTATGGATATTATACACATATTTTTATTTTTTACAGTCGTATTTTTATATTTATAATATTACAGTATTGATTCTATGGCTTAAATAAAAGTTGTATGCAAAGGAATTTGGTGTGTACATTTACTTGTCAAAAAATTGTTTTTATACTCTTGTGAATGACTCAGTGAACAAAGTGAACGAAATTTCAACAAGAACAATATTATTATGAATAAAAAAGTTAAATGTTTTTTACAGGAACAACTTAATAAATTATTATAAAAATTCTGAAAATTATAATATTAGTCTATGTCTCGAACAGGGAAATTTGCATTGTGGTATATGTACTTCTATTTTCCCGTTTTCTTCTACGCTTTAAACTTTTCCTCGTACCATTTTGCTTCAAGATGAATTATCTTAAATATAATAATATTACATTATAAATTATATATTCCAATTTAAATACTCACTATTTCTAAGTCATTGACAATGTTTCCAATGCTAGTGATAAAACCAGAAGCGAATAAATTACTAGTACTGTTTCTATACAAATGTATTTAACTTAGACGCTATTATAGTGTTTTTGTTTATAAATTGGAAACTCGCGAGTTCCTTTACATACATCGTTCCACAATAAATGCATTGTGTTTGTTCGTAAACTTTCTGTACAGTAACTAATATAAGTTTATAGAATAAATTAATATTTGTCAATTAATCGTTCTTATAGAAATTTCCATTCAACTATAATTCTTGTTCTAATTTCCTTGTCAGTCGTATACTCACTCACCTTCTATTATTTCATTCGTTGGGAGATTTTTCCCGCCATATCTCCCAGCGCCAATCGCACCTATTAAACCAGTTACGCAAGCAACGCGAACGATTATTGCCACCGGTTCTCCCGCGGACAGTTGCGAGACCATTTTGAAATTCCCTCGCCGATAATTTTCCAGAAAAAAATCCCGTTTGAACGCGCGAACTTGTACGGGGTCGTTAGCTGCGCGTGAAAGTTGCGCAGCGTCCGAACGAGGAAAAGGCGGTTTGACTAGCGCTCGGAAGAGATCGAAGATACACGTTTATAATTTTCGATTAGTTTTGCATTCGTGATAAGGTCCACGAGAAAGTAGTTACCTTAGAAACTTGAACAACGATTTGCAAGAGATTCGCCTCTTGCAATGCATTCGTCTCGGTCGTTTCTTTTTTAGAAACCTCGACCAACCCCGGCGAATCCTTCCTGAATAGAGATTGCTTCTGAAGAGAGTCCGTGACTGACAGTTCAAGGGATATTTCCTCGTCGCGTAACAATCGTTTCGTTGAAACATCTGGCGAAATAATACAGAAATCATCGAGTTTAATGCGTGGCTATTAGCGACGTTCTTCGTGCTCGAGGGAAACCGTCGAGTTCTCTCGACGATTTGATCCCTGCTTTCTTTTGTCAACTTTCCTCGATCCCACCTCGCGCGGATCGCCAAAAAGAAGACAAAGTTCATTAAATGGAATGTCACTGAGAATGTTTGAAAGCAATATTGAAATACTCGTTGTCTAAAATACTATAAATTGTCTAAAATCGCTTTAAATTAAATGGTATAGCCTTACAATTATTTTATTCGATGGATATTTGCCTTACGATTTTATAGAACTTGTTTCTGAACAAACAACATACTTTTACATTTCATATTTTTAGAATAAATAACGCAATAATAGTTTGCCGTTTTTCACGTGGAGTTTTTCTATTCATACGCTTCGTGTGACAATAACGGTATGCTTAATTTAAACAGAGAGTTGCCTTTCATATGGAATCGTTCTTTATTGCCATCTCCTGTTATAATCATCACTATGACAGTTTAGGTACCGTCAGCTGGTGTTCTCTCATGTATATCTGAGCATGTTTTCCATTTGTTTATTTTCTTTCATGGAACATGAGTGAAAAAGGTGAAGGAAACATAAATTTCTTGAAACGTTGGAATACGACGTCTTTCGCCTAATCTCGAATTTTTGGAGGAACTCCTTTAATAGACAATACCGTTTTTGCTGTATTTATACAGTTAGTTTTGATATATTAAAACAATAAAGAGGTATAAAAGTAGAAAAGTTGAAAGTCAAGTTTTGAGTTATAAAACAATTTTTAAATTTTCATTTATATTACGTGCGATATTATCACAGTTTTACTGTGTGTGTTCCACTCTCACTCACCTAACAATCTACTTTTAGACGGCACAATAGGCATTCTTTGTGAATTTTTTACGAAAAACCATGAGAGTTTTCAATACGAGTTTTTCGTTCACTTTGTCATTCATCTTTAACGGATATATATAAAATTTTTTGACATGGATTACTAGAAGATACCCTTAAAGTAAATAATTTAATTTTAAGTTTATTTTTTATTTTTTTTTATTACATAATTTTTATATTATTTGTTCTTTGTTTCGATGATTTGAACTAAAGTCAAAACGTTTTGGATCAAATTAAAATTTATGAACATGTCAGGATTTGTGTCAAAATTAAATAAAAAGTCCAATGATTATTTAGTATTAATTATTAAGACAGATGTAACAAGAAATTGTTTCATATAATTAACTATTGAAGAATAAAATTATATTTCATAAATAATACGTAATAATAAAATGATTAATTTAATTTCGTTTATTTTTAAGACCATCTGTCTGCGTGCTCATAATCCTTTTATCTCTTTTCTTTCTCATATTAAATTTGATTTATTATTTACCAAATACACGTATTTCTTTAATTAATTTATCATTTCCATTATGAAATCAAGAAATTTCCTAATTATATTTGAAAAATGATAACTATGTGAATTAAAAAAAAAGTTACAAAATTAAAAGTCATTTTATATAATTATTATGCCAAACATGCCCACATTAAATTGTCACCTTATTTACAATTTATTTTTAAAAAAACAGCAAATTTCTAAATTGTATTTAAAGATTTTTCTTCAGCGGTACGAAAGTAAACATTTAGTGATCGAACGTTTCTGGAAAACATTCTTCGCCCAAGAGATCGGTTTGTTGGAATTCGCCGGCATGGCTTCCAATAATAAATTAGACCATGACTGCACGCGGAATAGAAAGTTGCAGCGGCCAGTGCAGTGAAAGAAGCGCGCTACCAGAAGCGGAGAAACCGCTGCTGAATACATGGAACGAGGAAGAAAAATTTCCTGCAGGGCTCGATGTCGTCTTCTTCAACTAGAGTCCTCTTCTTCGTTCACGGTTGACATTTCCCTCGTGGCGTCACGATGCTCGGGTTTCCTCTTACCGCGTTGCATCGCGTTGATTAACAATAATTCCCTGACACGGGGATGTAATAATTCGACGTGTGCGACTCTAATTGCAGGAGCTTTCATCGAGATTAAGGTATTACCAATCTCACTGGGAACCTTGTCTCCGAATCTCTTCATTCAGACTGCAATTTCCCGGGAATTAAATGTTCCCTCGCGACTTCTTACAAATTACTCGCTTTCGTTCGATTTCTGCTTTGCTTTCTGCCTGACAAAACACTTTCATGGAAATTGGAACGAATCTAGGATACTATTTAACCAGAAATTAAAAAGACTATCCTAAGAATTTATACGATATAAATTGTTAATAAATAGTTATTGTTTTTTTAAATTTTATTTTTTGAAAGTATACGGCCTCGAAAATATTTTTACCGATAGAAAAAAAGGAGTTCCATTGAAACAACTGTATTTTCAATATTTTTACATAAAAAAATTCTGTATATTTTTTAATGTAGGCCAAAATCGTGTAGATAAGTCTGGCACAAAAGTGTCATAGTTTCTCTTTTTGAAAGGGATTTTCTACAAATTCGGTCGAAAAAATAACCTGTTTTCATATATTTTTTACAAATAAACTATATAATTTTTTCGGCGAAAGTTTTGTTCACATTTTTATTCATTTTTCAAGAATATATGTAAAATTTGATACAGAATACTAAAAATTGTAGAAGTTACAAAATAATCCTTAAATCGAGAATAATAATCATAAAGTCTAAAAATAAGTTCTCCAGAAAACAACGCGATTAAAGAATACTGCTTTATAAATTTCTATATTACGTGATAATCACTATTTATGACCGAAATTTCTTTTTTCGGTTGGTCATCTTCCATAACAGTAAAACAAAACATACGTTTACATAATAAATGTTGTATATAATATTAATCTGCATTGAAAATCAATTGTACTAGGTAACAGCGTATAGAAATTTGATGTTTTCTGAAAATATACGCAAAAATTGTAATTTGTACAATTCCTGTACACATTGTGATTCGTTTCTGAATTAACTTCTATTGTCCCATTTTTTAAATTTATTCGTAAATTAGAATTTATTCGAGGAGTTTTTAAACCAATATCTTGGTGAATAAAGTTGTAGTCAAAATGTTAGCTCTCGAATAAATCTAAAAATTTTATTCGTTATTCGAACATTTACCTACTCTGACTGAGCGTATTCGAAATAGTCATCCATCACCCTGTTCAAATACTATGAATATTCGGATAATTGATCGGTGTGCAATATATTGGAATCAAAATTCCGGAACTTTATTCACCCCAAAATTGTGAAAATATTTGAGACTTTCAGAAATTTTTCAAAAGACACTTTTTAAAATTTATCCTTGAAATTATTTTCATAAGTTTGATCATTTTTACTCGGTCGACTTTTCGATTTTATAAAATTTTTTTTTAACATTTATTTCCGCAGTTATGTTAATGTTTTACCTGACTTTACACACAGGAAATAATGCTTGTAATTTCTTTGTGAATCAGTAATTTTCGAGAGCAAAAGGTCGCTTTGAAACTCGATAGCTTATACGAAACTGGATAAACTAGAAATTCTGGTATCGGTGGGAAAAGGTTGATCCTTTTGAAAAAAACAAATTTAAAATATGTAGAATGTTGTAAAACGAACATGAAAATCTGGTTCTTCTGCAGTTTTTAGCATACCATCAACATGTCATTTTTGTTTTCAGAGATGCGAAGCGAGGTAGGAGAATGGCTGCCCACCTACGTAGGTTCACCGATATGCATCCTGTTGCTGTCATGGTCGCTGCTGATCTATCAAAATCAGCCATCTTCGGCGAAAAGGAGGGTCGACGTGTTTACGGTGGCCATTCTCTCCGAGAGTCTCGCGCATCAACTTGGACTCCTTTTCTACGCGATCCTTACTCTCATTCGGCCGATTAATCACTTTGGAGGTAATAGAATAAACCTACTAGATTACTGTAAATGAAATATTGAATTTTACAAAGAAAATTTGACACTATTTAGTTTTAGAGAACTTATTTATATTGTACAAAATAATTTCCATCCGCATGAACACTTTGCTAATGTCTAACAGGGACTTAAATACCATTTTCTTTTTAATCTGATATGTTAGGTTTGACAACTTTCTTGGCCCTTTTGATTTCCTTTTCGTTGAGAAAATTTGTCCTCATTGAAAAGATGTCTAGATTTATAGGAGATAAGTTTGATAAATGCAGTTGAATTTCATACTTTAATTCATTCAAAATTGTTGTTTGTAAGGTCTACATTATAGTGTAATATGTGTAATAGTGAATATGTCTTCCTTTGTTTACGAGGGATGGAAGTTATATTTTCAATTTATTGTACATTCATTGAATATATTGGCAGCATATATTTGCCGTTATTGCATTATAATAGTATGTAGAACAGAATAATCATACAGTACATACTCCACCAAATTGTTAGAAGAATATCCCTATGTAATTATCGTACTATTCAATGACAGTTAAAACGGAAGACACAAAGACTTAAACCTATTATCTGATTTTTAATTCCTTCAATCAATAAAGATTCTATTGCTATTTGTAATTTCTACATAATGTGATATGTGATAGTTTACACTAGAAACATGCCTGTAAATACCATTGTGTAGTACGAGATTTGAGGCTTTAGCGGCTGGATGCCGCGTCTAGGTTCAGCTAATCTATTAAAAATCTCTGATTGGCTGACGCATTGTTCCGCGTCAGTGACCACGCGAATAAAAGGACTTCCTGAAAACATGGGACTTGGACATCAGAGCTTAATAGCCCTGGAGATACAAATAGCAACCGTTACAGTGTTTGCGAAACATTGATGATCGGCTGAACTTAGACGCGGTATCCATCCGGAAGCCATATTGTTAAGAATTCAAATAGAATTTTAATGTGATTGCGTTTACGATACGGACGTGATTGTCCTATTTTTGACTATTCAGAATTTTCTAGACACTTGCAGCAAGCAGTCGCTTTATGGTCATTATTAGTAAAGGAATCTCTAAACTTTATTCGGGATTTGGAATTCTTGGAAATCATGGATTTCATTAATTCCACTTATGTCAAATATATTTTACAAGATTGAGACCTTAGTTATCAATCAACCCTTGTATTTATTTCGCTGTTAAATTAACTATACAAGATATTGTGTTAATTCAACCAGTATACACTGTCTTTTTAATCGAAGACGTTTCGATCATTGACATTGCTGACTTACACGTATTTAGAACAATCATTGACGCAATCTTTCTAGTCAATATCAAATTTCTCAAGTGAATTCCCACAACTTTCAACTATTATTTCATTTGAATTAATTGCCCATCAGGATTACTTCCTTTTCAGACTTTTTTATCTAGTATCAGCCAACTACGTTTCGCCTATAGCGTTAATTTCGTTCAATTCGCAGAGTTCTGCTCGACTCTAGTCTGGATGCTGAACTCGTCCAGCATCCTCCAGGAACTGACGTTAACCTCGATCGCGATCTTCACCGCGATCAGCACCAGAGACGAGGGTCTACGCCTCACGAAAAACCACCTCAAGTATCACCTGGTCAGTCTCAGCGTGATCGGTGCCTGCGTCGGTGTGACGGGCGTTCTGAACTTTGAACCGGAACTCTGCGTTTTCATGGCCCAGGAGATTTCCATCAAATATGGCGTCTTCGTCAACTCCCTGCGGTGTTTGTTACTGTTGACCACGCTGATTAGCTTGTTGGCGGCTTTGTTCAGAAGCGTCTGTCGCACGCGAAAGGCAGAACTGCTGAAGTCAGTGTCGGATCTGTCGGAGACCAGCTCGAAGAACTCCTCCGGGGCGTTCGAATGTCATCCGCAGCACTGGGATCCTTCCAGCGGATCCTGCACCAGCGGATCTACCAACAGTAGAGCCTGTCTCAGGAAGAAGAGAGTCCAGGTGGACGAGGCCAGTGGGAGATCCACCATTTACAGCATCCTCTTCGTCTGCTACGTCTTTCAACATTTGCCTATCTTGGTAAGCTACCTTCTTCGATATCTTCCCCAGTATTTTGGATTCTTACTGTATCTCTTTTTGCATTACGTTAATCATTTTCACAATTTATTTTCAGGCTAAGGGCAGTTCGAAATATAATAATTACTTAAAATTTAAAGAGAAAGTATTTTATTTTGTGCTTTAAATTTTAAAAATAAAATATTTCATTTTATCTTTTAAATTATTAAAATAAAATATTTATTCCATGCTAGAGTCTTATATTATCAAAATAAAATATTTTGTTTACTAAAATTTCATTTCATATTTTAAATACTATTTTATTTTAAATTTATAGTGTGTATTATTTAAAATAGTATTCGAAATAGTTTTTCCACGAATATTACTCAGCTTTGTTCCCAGTAATAGTTGCTAGATTATTATTTTACACCAGACCTGACTATTTTTAAAAGTGTTAATTGATATAGTATTTTAAAAATAACATTTTCGAAATACGATTAACTCTCGTATAGTGAATGCATAGTTATTTTTAACGTGTGTTTACTCGAAAAAGATAGACGATATAGAAATATCTTGTCTTTGATAGCTCCGTATTGTTAGTTATTGACAAACGCACGGGATTATTTAAATATTCCACAAAGTCAGACAATATAAGTTCCATTCAACAATGTATGTACATATGTTGTTATGTATAAATATAATGTATGCAGTTGAAAGGTCCATTTATAGTATAATAAATTTTATACTTACGTGACAAACTGTGGGTAGGTTAAACGATTTTATTGATTTTTACTGAAGCACTTACTAATAATACTCTATCATCATATCATATCCAACGTGTCGAGATATTTTTTATTTTTCAATATGAAGAATAGAATTTTGAACGAGAGAAATAGAAATTTAACAACGATATAAAGATTTTATCGGAGAAATTTGCACGAGAACTTGTAGATGGCTTGTAGGTTTGTGATTTATATAAATCATTATCATATTGTATAAATACTTCAAGTCATAAATATGCATAATGCAAGATGGATATGCAAAACATCAGTGAAGCATAGCTATTACGCTAATTTCTTATTTTCTTCGCAGGAATATCATTTCGAAATAATAGAAAAGAAGATAAGAGTCTCCGATTCGATTTTCAAAAATTTTGTTACATAATAATCATTTTTATTTTTCTGCACGAGACAAGACAAATTCTTCATTTTACGATGTGGTTTATGTTTTACCATTGTTAATAGTACGATTTTTCATCCAAATTTTTGATAACTATTATTAGTAACGTAAAAGAATCGTAACAGGGAAAATTAGAGTAAATTGATAGCTTAACCGTTTCAAGCAACCAAAATATATTAAAAAAAAAAACACTTTAGTTCAAAATATAATTAGTGGTTATCCTATAACTTTTCATTATTTTGGTTATAACAGTTATGATCGCTGCAATAAATAGATACTCGTTTCAAGATTGGTCTCTACTATCACACACACAAGCAGAAACGTTAGTTATTCTTGATAATAGTTGTAAGAATCAGTACGAGGCTTTTGCAATCGAAAGTGAAAAATAGTAAAACATGTACGGTCTATATACGAGAGTTAATTATTATTTTCGAATCGATTTTCCCCAGATAATTGTTACCTTACAATATTTATCGTGGTAAGAGAGAAACGTGACATTTATTAAATCCGTTTTAAAGTAGCTTCGATCGAGGTGTCTCAGCTATATGTAGCGTATTTTGTACTAATCCACTAAATAGCAGGCGACCAGCGAGCCGTGACAATGTTACGCGTCTAAAACCTGCGGATATAACTTATTTCTGCTTATCGTTCGGAAACGATTAAAAATATGCGATTACAAGGCCGCTCTCTAATACTCTGGCGTGACCATTACATAATTCGTTCATTAAATTTCATTATAACCGCGATTCTTTCCTAATAATGCGATCGTTTAATTCACACCTAAACTGCGCGATTAAACTACGAATTATTATTTTATTATTCGGAGGTGAAAATCAGGAATTTGCATTTTAGCTTTGAATATTCTATTTTAGTAGATATTTTATTTCATTTCAAACTTTAGTAATAGGTCGAAAATAATTTCGTCGAACAATCTTCGGTAAAAATCAGTAAATAATTGCGAGAATTTTAACAATTGTTTTTCTAAAACGAGTCATTTGTCGTTTTTCTTAATTCAAAGAAAGAAAAATCTGCTTGAGAAATTCCGTCCTAATTGAACTAATTCAAAAAAAATTGTAGATTCATTCCTGAACTAACTTTTTCATGATATCTGGATATCAGTTTAAAAAGTTCTGTAATGAATCATAACTTACTAATTAAACTTTGTTTATCGTATTAAGTGTTGCATTAGTGTAAATCGTGCAAACTTATATTAAATATGGGTTACAGGTTACTTGTATTTTTAAATCCAGTATTTAAAGTACATGATTCTATAATGTTTTATATGCAATACTAACGTGACAATTTCTGTCTACCTTTTTCAGGTTAGGATCAATAATTATAAAATCTCTAAACCTCGAGTAAAGAGGTTTCTTTAATCAAGACATTATTATAAATTAATGCAATATAATTTTCCAATTGCTCCCAAAATATGTAAAATCGCCCACGCCTATGGGAACTATGCCACACGTTGAGAAACATTGCTCTAAACTGTTCCGTGAGGTCAATATTTATACTATAAAATTGTAGAATCTTATTGTCGATCAGAGAATTTTGCATGATTGTTCGCATGGAATGAATCGTAAGGTCGTGGAGCGTGAAAAGGGTTCCCCTCGTAAGCAGGAAACCGGCTCGAATGCCTGTTATCCGGAAGTTGACGAGTCACCGATCATGTTTCCTTTTTTCTACGCCGAAATTCCGTTCAGCGGCGAGAAAGTTGGACAGAGGGAAATCTCGAGCTGTTTCGAACGTTCGATTTTTTTAATATACACGTGCGTGACACTTTATTGTATTTTATGATTGATAAATATTTATAGTGCGTCGCATCCAAAGAGAGACAGGAAGGGAGAAGACGCGAAAACGCGTCGAAATATTCGAAAGTGCGAGCTTAATACGGACGACGACCTCGATGTCAAACTTGATTAAGATTCGGTCGACAGGTAAAATGATCGCAGGAGAAACTCCCCTGACCTTCCTTGTGAATATTTATAACCGACTGCGTGACGCATTCTGTTTATAATCGCGCCCAGTGGACGCCATTGAATTAGGTTGCTTCTATGCTGGCGTTGAAGTCTCCGCCGTTTGAGTTTACTCGATGATTTACTCGTTCTTCGGGAATTAAAAACAGCACAATTCCATTTTCTAACATTGTACGAATTATTTGTACGTTTGTTAACTGTTTTCGACTCGCTTGAACTTATCTAGCAACATTCAAAATAACACAAAAATCTCATTTTTAAGTTGTTTCTCGACGACAGATATTTAAAAGAATTCTAGTTCAGGAAACGTGCTGTTTTGACAGTCGTCAATGTAATATTGTGAATAGTATATTGGATTTCTAAACAATACAAATTTTAGTTTGAAGATTGTTCGTTGGACTTGTTACCTACTGTTTATTTTTAATTAGATGTGAAAAGACAGCTTTTGGTTGAAATAAATAGTGTGAAAGGTAGTAAATTTCTGAACGAAAATAGTAGAAAATATAATTAAGGAGAAGAATGTGTATTCTGTGTACTTTTTATCGCGATTACGAGCATTCGTTTCCAATTATAACGAATTGGAAATTACGGTGAGTCGCGTTTCAACTGTGTAAATTAGGATTCGTGTGGATGTTCGTTTCCAGACGGTAAATTAAGTGTTACAGAGGTACTTACGTTTCTATTGGCAATATATCAAGTATTTATCTGCATGCTCGCGGGAGACAAAAAAAATCTTGGGTTCATTTACTTAGCATTACAAATGCTCGAACAACTTGCCATGGATGGAGTGTGGAAAAAGTGGGGCGAAAATAATATTCGATTTTCAGACAGTTTTGAAAGTCTGGGTTATCTGGATTCAAATTTAATTTGTCAGGCAACGCGTATATATTATAATATCATTCAATTTGCAAACATCGAAGTGAGGATAAAACAGATTAAAACCAGTAGGTTAACACTTCCTCCAGTCTTCGCAAACCTGTTTAAAGATATACTTTCCAGCCATAATCTTTTGATTCTCAGAGGAATGCCAATAATTGAAAATTAATCATGTACAGTTCTGGACAAAAGAATAAATATCTTTCGTTATTAATCCTTTTATTGCTTGTAGCTTAAACTATTTTTTTCTTCTTTCCTAGGATTGTCGTACAAATTGACATTATTTACGTAGACACTGAATTATTATGCATTTTAGGGAAAAATCGACTGAATTAAAGTATAAGTCTTTTATAAAAAATAGTTTATTTCGTAGCAAATACTAACGAAAAAAATTTGTTCTACTAAGTTACTATTTCATGATGGACAAGCAACTTGCAAAATATTTTTTTTCATGCTGTTAATAAATTTCTTTTTATTAAACTTTGGTCGATTTCCTCCAAAAGAGAATTTCGTTTATTATTAGGTAATTAACGATGTTCTATCTCTAATTATTTGGCAAAGATTTGTACAGATTTTCAATAATTTTTTTGCCCTAGATTTCCTCACTCGTTCTAAATGCAAAGTTTCGAATCAGCAATGTTTTTAAATTGCCTGTCACTTTGTTCACTGCATTGGTAACATTTTCCCAAGTTTTTACAATTTTTGATAAATTCGGATCTTGCTGGTTAATCCAAAATACGAACAAATCAGCGAAAGGAAATCTATCATGTCGAGGATTTACTTTTTTGTCATTTTCGACGTTGAATCAACTGATGCAGGAATAGCGTAGAGTAAAAAGAAAACAATTTTTAACAAAATATATACCCTTAGTTATAGAGTGGATCCAAAATTACTTTCTCGTGTTTTATCAATAATAATATGTACAATTTCGTATTTAGAAATAACGTTTAATTCAAAAATTGTTGAAAATGGAAACTATCGAAGGGCGACCTG